TTTCCAAAATCGAATTCCAGTAAATGAGAAATAAACAAATTAAATGGTAAATATAATTATTTGTATCCCGTCATTTAGCAATGCTTTGAACTAGACATTTGCTTTATGTCGGTCCTTGAAACTTGGCTCTCAAGCTTAGCCTCGATTCTCTTTCATCATCTCTAATAAGTTTAGACATTTCAAATTTGAGGTGTTTCAATGCGGTGAAGAGATCGGTATCAATTCTTTTTCTGGCATCATCCAATTCTGGCGACAATATCCGGTGTCTTCTCCGGTGGCGGTGGCAATAAGGCTTTGGCTCCAACATCCTTCGGTGGATAACCATGGCCTCCATGACAGCTCAGACCAACATTCCAAACAGCAACAACCACTAAAATCAGCTGGGAAGAGAGATGAAAAGATTCACGAAGAAACCTCACATGAAGAATGGGTAGATATATAGCTAAATTTAGGGGTGAATAAAATATCTGAAATTCCAACATTTAATTCCATTTAAACTGAAATTTAAATTTTAGTTTAAATTTTCAAATTGGTTATAATTATTATTATTTTTTTTCATATATATTTTGAATTTTCAAATCGATTTAAATTAATATACTCTCTCCGTCTTATTTAAAAGTTACTATTTTTCATTTTCGTTCATACTTACTATTTCCTAATTTAATAATTGTACTACCTACTTAACATAATAAATACCCTTTCAACTTACAATATATTACACAAATATTATTACTTTTATATTAAACGATACTAACAGAGTATTTTTGTCTTTTTTACTACAATCTAATATTATACTAATATTAAAAAATTTACGTGTAAAAAACAAACGGAGCCGCGCAATTGGCCTATTTCTTGCGCGTACACCCTTCCAAACGGGTGAAATCCAAAATATAATATACGTCAATATATATTTTATTATATATATTTAGGACCTACTGCTTCCAAACCAAGTTTTCCCAAGCACGACATTTGCTTCAAATGGCAGCAAAAGCTGCATTGTTTTTTTTTTTAATATAATTTTTTTTTTCAAATATTATATTTATTTAATATTTATAATAATTATAGGGTAAAAAAATGTATACAATATATATATGTCGTTTTGTAGAGAATAAAATTTTTTATAATACGAGTAAATAAAAATTTAAATATATATATTAGGTATAATATAAATTCAAAACCAAATTATATGTTACGGAAGACAATAAAGACAAAAGAACACAAGAATTTGGTAACCCAGTTCGATCACGATGATCTACGTCTAGGGGCGCTGCCAAGTCAGGAATTTTACTATCAAGTACGCAGGCACATGTTAAAGTGAGAATACATGGATATTTATAGCATAAGCCTTTGACAATAATATCCAAATTATATCTCTAAAATCTAAAATATAATATCCAAATCATATCCCTAGATTTTAGGATATAATCAGGCTTCATATTGTTCTGATTCGAATCATTCCTTTACCTACAAATTTCAGTGTCTCATCTATCTCCAAAATAGACAACACCAAAATTACCTGTGGTATAGGATTTCATGATTCTCGAATCACTGCATGAGTGGAATGACGCTCGACCAAAATCCATGACTCCATTGGACTGCTGACGCTCAGAATCAGCGCATCGGATATCTCCTCCGTTGCGTTTGCTGAACCCTGATCCTTCTCCGGCGCCCTGCACTGTCGTTTCAAGTGCCCCTTGCAGTTCCAATATACCACCCGACTTGCATCTTCCTTGTCCTTATTCTTCGGCTTCAACTTTGACCATTCTTGATTTTCACCCTTTCCTTTTGCCTCAAATCTAAATTGAGACATTCTCCTAAAGGGTTAGTCGAACCGCACTCATCGTCTTCCTGTCGATCTTCTTGTATTCGGCTTCATCCATGTCTTCGAATTTCTCCTTCAATACCGCATCTAGATCTTTACCATACATGTAATCTTCTATCTGCATATTTCAGAAATCGAAGTTCATACCATCGAATACCTTGACAACACGACGATCACCAATCTTGACTCCCACAAACAAACCTAAGGTTCACTTGATATGAGAGCACATCGGATATTCCGCTGCGTTTGCCGAAACCCTTATCCTTCCCTACCAACCTTGCACCGCCTATCACAAAGGGACTCGCTGCCTGACCTACCAGTCGGGACCGACCCAACACCGCCAGGAGACTTTCGACACAAGGCACCTCCGCAGGTCACAAGGGATTCCCACAACGATCCAACGCCCGATTCCTCTCAATCCACCCTATCAACGAACTAGGCTCTGATACCACTTGTTACGGAAATTTCCAGGAAATCAAGATGAGACAACAAAGACAAAAGAACACAAGAATTTGGTAACCCAGTTCGATCACGATGATCTACGTCTGGGGGCGCTGCCAAGCCAGGAATTTTACTATCAAGTACGCAGGCACATGTTAAAGTGAGAATACATGGATATTTATAGCATAAGCCTTTGACAATAATATCCAAATTATATCTCTAAAATCTAAAATATAATATCCAAATCATATCCCTAGATTTTAGGATATAATCAGGCTTCATATCCCAACATTATACAATATAAATTTAATACACATTTATATTATTTTATTTATTATTCATCAAATCAGTACACATCAAAACTCCTCAAACCTCAATCAAACCTAAACACAAAAGAAACATCAAAATTAAAATTCATCCTAAAATTTAAATAAAGATCAAACCCAAACTCAAATTTCCGCAAACCTCTATAAAAGAAACACACCCTAGATATTTTAATAATCACATCATGTAATGATATCTAACCATCACAAATGTATAGTCCTAAATGAGTATTTTTATTTTCTGCAAGTCTCAAAACCTGTCTCACCCTGTCTTGAACCAATAAGGTTTGGGGCTATTGTTTGACCAATTTGCAAATTATTATGTTCGGCCAAAGATTTATCGAGAGTGTATCCAAGGGTAGTGCCGCAGGTTTTACGTTATAAAAATAATAATAATAATAAAAAGGTTCAGGACTAGCAGTTTGTCACATATTGTTTGTCTAGTGTAACTTGTTTTATTGGATCTAATTTGCATACTATTATATTTGATTGAGGGTTTACTCAGAGCCAGAGCGCAACCGAAGATAGCGACTGCGGATTTCCATATTATTAAAAATAATATTAAAAAAAGTTTGGGACCAACCTAACAATTTTTTTTACTTAAAATATATAAAAATTTATTTACAATATAACATTATAATAAAAAATAAACATAGAACATAAAAAAAAAAAAAAAAAGAAGTTAAATTTCAAAAAAAAAAATCAACAATGGAGTATTAGTTTATAAAACAATACGTGTAACATAAGTATTAAAATGCATATATATAATCCAAAAAATAATATATATCAATTTAACACCTTTCAGCTTTAAAATCTTCATTTTTATCCAGCATTATAAGAGGATAAATTGTGTTCAATTGTCGACACTTGCAAGTAATTAATATATATTATATAATATAAATTAAAATAATAAAAATAAATACTCACTTTTAGCTTCACTCCAAGCAATGAACATACATTAATACCTCAAAAAAAAAATAAATAAAATACATTAATACACCTCAGGTCGCCTGCCATACATGATTCGTCTAATGTGACTTGTCTGTCGAGCCTAGTTTGCAGAGTATTAGACTCGTCCGGGAGTTTACCAGAAAGAGGAATTAAACCTATTACGAAAAGGATTAATCAATTTTCTAATAGAACTAAATGCATATTTAGAAATAACCATCATAGCAAACTTATATCTTGATTAATCTTGGCTAAACATATGCGATTGAAATTAGTTACTTCCACGAATATTTTTAGCTACCTTGATGAAAGTCCGTCGGATATCGACCTTCCATTTTTTATTTTTTTTCTTTTTACAAAAGTTCTTTTTTTATTTATTTCTTTTTCTTTTTACAAAAGTTCTTGTAATAGTTATGCAAATAATTGGTTCAATAGTCACTTAGTGTTCTCAAGGAATATTTGTGTCTATATCCTAAATGTGGAGGGTAAAGAATCATCTGTTTTTTAGATTTCATATGCAATTGTATAAAAAAAATTATGTTTCAATAATTATAATTTAAAATAAAAACTCGCATATTAAAAAAAAAAACCATTACATAAATTTTCAAAATTAAAACTTTTAACTTTAATGAAAAAAAAAAGATTTAAAATATAAAATCCACAATTTACCCGGAATGATTTTTTCAAACTCAAACCCGTCTCATTAAAGGTGGGTCTGGTGATTAACCTAATATTAGAGATTGAGCGTGAGTTTGTTTAGTTTGTATTTTAGTTTAAATTTTTTTTTTTTAAGTGAGATATAGAGAATTGCATCGATAATATAAAAATAATATTTTAAATTGAATTTTATATAAAATAATATATATTATTTATATGATGTAAATGCATGTATATATATAGTATTTTGTACTTCATCCAAGTATTTTTTTTTTACTGTCGCTCAAAAGTATTCATTTTCTATCTTTTTAAATTTTTTTTACCTAAATTACAAAAATATCATTATAAATACAATTTTATATATAAAGTAAAAACAAAAATAAAAATATCAAAATCTTTTACACGATCAATAAAATATTATTATTTTTTAATTTACTACAAAATTTCAAATAACGTTTTTTTTTTTTTTAATCGGCAGAGTATTATTAAGAATTGTATCAACAATAAATTGGTGGGCTAACAAACCTGATATATAAGTTTTTAATTTATCAAAAAAAAGTAAATAAACAATGAAATTCAATCCAAATGTGGATGATCATAAATTCATACCAAAATTACAAACTCATTCATTAAGAAACATCACATATATATATATATATACATACATGATCATTCATATATATATAATATATGTATCAAAAACTTTAAACCTAAAAGCTACACGTATGGGATCTATCTATCTACACATTATATATATTACAATTAAAGAACACTATACATATGAGTAATAGTACTAGTCCTAGTGCAGATTAACGGGCGGCGGGCAGCTGTACGGTGGCGGGAGGGAGGAGCCAGGTGGCGGCCTCAATGTAAGAGAGGCTGAGGAACTGGTTGCAGTCCGATTCGGTCATCTTCTTACAGAATGTGACGCGGCTGTTGAGGGCCGCGCCGGGGCCTCTGTTGTTGAATTCTCCGAAGTACACAGTTCTGCGTGTCATTAATTAGTTAATTAATCAATCGACCAATTAATATATATATATACATATAGGGACGGACCCGTTAGTTTCGGGCTGTCTGTTGTTGGACCATCCCTCGGGGATGACGACGTCGCTCATGTCGCAGAAGGCGAATATGACGCGAGAGTAGTCGAACCAGGACCTGCCCAGGTAGGCCGTGCCCCCGCTGCCCGTGATGGAGCAGTGGGCGAACACGTACCCGCTGCCTTCGTCGGGCTTCGACCGAGAGTGCGCCGTGATGATCGCCATTTTGTCCCCTGGGATCACGTGGATCTCCGAATTCTGCAAATTCAATGATTGAATCAGAATCGATTAATTAATTAATTAACTACGAATAGGAATAGGAGGGATTTAACCAGGTAGAGCGATTGGCCGGCGCCGAATATGAAATCGACGGTGCCCTCGATGTAGCAGTCCTTGAAGAAATGCCTGCCCTTGTCGTCGAGGAGGGTGTCCTGAAATCCATGGAATCTACAATTGTAGAAGGAGGCGTAGTCCCCCGATATATCCATCGCCACCGCCTGCGCATCCTTCATCTTCCCGTCGGGCCTCGGGGCCGTGTTCTTCATTCAAACCAATCAAAAATCAAGAAACTACAAAAATGGCCGACCATATATATACATAGATTTAGGGTTTGTACGTACGACGACTTTGATATTGACGGCGCTGAAGTAGTCCGATTCGACGATCAAGGTGCCGCTGTCGGTGGTGCCGTACTTGAGGGCGGTGCCGTCGTATATCAAGGTGGGCATGTTGATGGGGTCGCCGTGGAGCGTGACGAAGGGCTTGAGCCGGTCGATCTTGACCTTCTCGGTGTAGTTGCCGGGGCCGATGCAGACGATTACCCGATTCTGGTTGTTGGTGGGGATGCTGTTAATGGCCTCGGTCAGGGTCTTGAACTGCCCCGTCCCGTCCGCCCTGACCGTGATGATCTTCGCGCGCTTCTCGGCGCTCGCCACCATCGTGTGGAGGGCCACTTTGCGCGTGCTGAACATCCCAACCTCTTTCGCGAACCACGCCGCCAATTGCGCCTTGTCGGACGGAATCAGGACCGTCGACCGCGCCGCCGGAAGGAAAACCAGAACCGCCATTAGCAGCGCCATGTGGTAAGAAGAAGAAGAAGAAGAAGACATCTTTCTTTAATTTTTTTAATTTTTTTATTTTTTCAGTATTATGTATCTATTTTTCTATTTCTATTCTTATTTCTTCTATATTTATGTTTTATTTCTTATTGTTTTTATTTTCTTTATTCCAATTCTAATAATAATTATTGACTATGATTCAACACGCGATCTGTGTGTATACTTATAGAGAGAAGGGTTGAAATTTGGGAAATGAAGAGATCTGATGGAGCGTAGAGATAGTGAAAAATAGGAAATTTTAGTGGTGAAATTTGTGGTAGTCGTTATGGAAGTAGTATTGCCTATACATACGTACTCCCTCTCCATTATATGGTTGAGTATGAAAAAATATATATATTAAAGTATTTCGGAGACAATTTTCAATAAAAAATAAACTATTTCTATCCCACGCATTTGTTTCCGACGTGAAAATTTAGATGTGTAATTTTACATAAGAGTATTTGGAAATTAAGTGATAGGATAAAAGAAAAAAATGTATATTTATTAAAGTGATGTAATGGAATAAAAATAAAGTAGAAATTAAATATATTTAATTATTTTTTATTTTATAAATGTTGAAAGATGTTTGAGACAAATAAAAAAGAAAAATATTGTCAAAACTTAACAACCATCTAAATATTAACGAATTAATTTTTTTGAAATAATGTAATTTTCAAATTAGTTTAGTTGATATTTAAAAAATTATTGAATCTTGCCAAACTTTCATATATATTCAATAAACTGTATACACATGTTACATTCAATACTTTTTTTTTATATCATCTGTTATACAAGATTTGTCTAACATAGTTTACAAACTATTACATTTGATTAGTACATATTTAAAAAATAGCAACTTCGAATTCCGACATCACTAAAATATATATACATACAAATTTATTATACCACCTATTAGAGGATATATTTATGCGAATAAAATTTTAGGTACCAAACATTGTTTGAATCCCAATAGCCAATCTTTTCACCTTGTGTTTAAAAGATAGTGTTTTCTTTTTTTGCAAAATTGTAACGTGATCTATAATTAAGGCCTTTTTATCACTTTTAAACATTATTTGCAAGATATTTGATTTAATGACAATAATTAAATCACCGTTCTTATTCTTGTCTTCCGGCAACAAAAAATTACACGTAGTGATACGTGCTACTATGTTGCCACATTGAAGTTGATGTGTTCATACTCGAGCTAAAGTGAACACCTAGTGGCTCATTTTCCGGCCATAGGTGGCAAAATATATTTATATATATAAATCTTATTTGTAATTCAATTTAATTGAACCAAATTTCAATTATTATGATTGCGATTCGATTGCGAAAATACAAGATTGATACAGAAAAACATCAATTTACACATGAAAGATCCAAATTGATTATAACCTCAAAATTCCAATGTTATTTCCGTTACTAATACCCTAAACTAGTTCATCCCTCGATGCCGATGACATGAAACTTGTGAAAGCCGCCCCGTCCACAAGCCATTGTTTGCCATAGTTTCTCTACTCGTCCTCTCAACCTTTGACAGTATTAAATTATATTTAAAATATATATATTATATTTATAATAGTTATCTTATTTAAGAGATTTATAAGATTTTTGCATTATTCAGATGATTTGTACGTCATTATAAATATGTACAAATTCTTATAATTGAAATAAAGAATTTTAGTTTATTATTTTTTAAAAAAAAAAAATCAATTTCATATTCTAACAAAGAAAAAAAAATTTCAGTTTCATATTCTTGTTGTTATCTTATTTGCACGAATGTCCTGTGAAGGAACAACATAGGATATCAAGTGAAAGGACTACAAAACATGTCCTATGATCAAGGAGGTGAATGATCAGCATAATGTTTGTTGGTTGTTTGTGTTTTCTTTGTTTTTGTTTTTATAATTTGGTGATGTCTTCTAATGTAAAATGCTGATAGTTTCCGGCAGGCCAAAGTGCTGATAGTCATTGTTCTTGTTATCCTATGTCTTTTTTTTTCCATAGTAATATGTATGTAAATACTAAGTTGTTAACGAGCAGAATCAAACAAATTGTTTTGTAAGTATTTGTATTTGTTTGATAATGTTTCCGAACGAAATTTTTGTCTGTTTGTTAAGCATTCGAATTTATTTGTATTGTTTGAATTTGATTCGTTAAACAATATTATTGTTTGAGCTTGTATTCAGCTCAGATAAGCTTGTTTGGGCTCGTTCGAACTTGTTTGGATAAATATGATATTTTATTTTTAATTCATGCATAGATTTGTTTACTTAATATTTTTGTGTGACACTATTCCTAAAGATTATTATAAAAAATACAATATACACATATATTAACATAATATATATATATATATATTGTATTTATTCAAAAAAAAAAAATTAACAATTCAATATAACTCAACCGAATTGAATTAATTTAAATTTGACCGGCTTTAATGTAATAGTATTTTCAATAAAAGTATGAAAAGCTAATCTTAGGCATATCTGTAAATACCACTCCTTTTCTATAACCGCGCTCCATCCCTCCCTCCTGCATTCCATATTCATATATATATATATATATCATTTATCTGTCTGTCGTGAACCATAGTCAATAATAAGTAGCTAGAACTTGAATAAATAATAATAATAATAAAGTATAAATAATAGGAAATAAAATATAGATATAGAAAAATCGATAGAGTAGAAAATTAAAGATGTCTTCTTCTTCTTCTTCTTCTTACCACATGGCGCTGCTAATGGCGGTTCTGGTTTTCCTTCCGGCGGCGCGGTCGACGGTCCTGATTCCGTCCGACAAGGCGCAATTGGCGGCGTGGTTCGCGAAAGAGGTTGGGATGTTCAGCACGCGCAAAGTGGCCCTCCACACGATGGTGGCGAGCGCCGAGAAGCGCGCGAAGATCATCACGGTCAGGGCGGACGGGACGGGGCAGTTCAAGACCCTGACCGAGGCCATTAACAGCATCCCCACCAACAACCAGAATCGGGTAATCGTCTGCATCGGCCCCGGCAACTACACCGAGAAGGTCAAGATCGACCGGCTCAAGCCCTTCGTCACGCTCCACGGCGACCCCATCAACATGCCCACCTTGATATACGACGGCACCGCCCTCAAGTACGGCACCACCGACAGCGGCACCTTGATCGTCGAATCGGACTACTTCAGCGCCGTCAATATCAAAGTCGTCGTACGTACAAACCCTAAATCTATGTATATATATGGTCGGCCATTTTTGTAGTTTCTTGATTTTTGATTGGTTTGAATGAAGAACACGGCCCCGAGGCCCGACGGGAAGATGAAGGATGCGCAGGCGGTGGCGATGGATATATCGGGGGACTACGCCTCCTTCTACAATTGTAGATTCCATGGATTTCAGGACACCCTCCTCGACGACAAGGGCAGGCATTTCTTCAAGGACTGCTACATCGAGGGCACCGTCGATTTCATATTCGGCGCCGGCCAATCGCTCTACCTGGTTAAATCCCTCCTATTCCTATTCGTAGTTAATTAATTAATTAATCGATTCTGATTCAATCATTGAATTTGCAGAATTCGGAGATCCACGTGATCCCAGGGGACAAAATGGCGATCATCACGGCGCACTCTCGGTCGAAGCCCGACGAAGGCAGCGGGTACGTGTTCGCCCACTGCTCCATCACGGGCAGCGGGGGCACGGCCTACCTGGGCAGGTCCTGGTTCGACTACTCTCGCGTCATATTCGCCTTCTGCGACATGAGCGACGTCGTCATCCCCGAGGGATGGTCCAACAACAGACAGCCCGAAACTAACGGGTCCGTCCCTATATGTATATATATATATTAATTGGTCGATTGATTAATTAACTAATTAATGACACGCAGAACTGTGTACTTCGGAGAATTCAACAACAGAGGCCCCGGCGCGGCCCTCAACAGCCGCGTCACATTCTGTAAGAAGATGACCGAATCGGACTGCAACCAGTTCCTCAGCCTCTCTTACATTGAGGCCGCCACCTGGCTCCTCCCTCCCGCCACCGTACAGCTGCCCGCCGCCCGTTAATATACATACATACACATATATCTAATTAGACTTGAAACTATATATATATATATGTATATATATATTCATAGGAAGTTTCTTCATTTGTTGTATGTATATATACACACATTGGATATGTAGAAATATGTTCCTTAGTTAGCATGGAAGAGATACATATGATCGATATCACTTGCCCGCTTGATCCATCGGATTCCCTTATTATATAATATCAAGCTTGTAATAATTGTTTTATTCTTAATATTCTATAGTTTGCTAAAAAAACTATTGAATCAATTAAGAAAATGAAATTTAGTGTCCCGTAAAAAATGATCTAGTATTGTGGAAATGAATTCCTAAAATAATCTTTCAAGTATAAAAAATATCACCAACTATTAAAATACAAAGTATTTATTATTATGTAAAAAGTATCAAATGAGATGATATAAGTTTATTCTCTATGAAATAAGTATTACATTAAATACTTAGATTTGCATTATTTTAGTATTTAAGAATTTATTATGAATTTTTATTGTTAGTACTTGAAAACTTAAATCTATTATTAATTTTTCTTTTTTAAAAAAATTATGATAAAAATTAATATATCTTCTATCAAAAACAATATAAAATTAAAAGCATAATATTAGCAGATAACTAAAATGAAATTTTATTCTACATAGTGGATTTAGTTACATGCCACGTTGAGTGGAATTTGGAATATATTATATATTTAATAAAGTTAATGTGTATTAAAATTCCCCAAAATATATGCACTTAATGAGGGAATCATTTGAAATTTGGGGAAAACCTTTTTATTTATTTATTTATTTATTTATTTTTCTTTGTATATACCTTTGTTGAATATTGTGGAGAGATTGGGAACATTTTTGGGCTTTTGATTGTGTCACGAAATTTATAAATGATTGTTACCTTTTCGTTTGAGTGTGGGAGTGAAATGATTTGAATGTTAATAACCAATCTAAATGATTTATAGAGAGTATATTATTTATTTTAGATCTACTTCATAATTATCTATAAATATATTTCTTTTCAAGAATATATACTTTAAAATATTATTGGCTCATAAGGCCACATTTAATAATAAAAAAATGTATGCTGAACATATAATGTGTATTTACTTTTGTGTTTTTTAATGTATGTATCTTGTATCTTTCGTATTATTAATATAAAAATAATATTTTTAAAATTCACTTGATAAATATATATTTTGTTATTTTTTTTTTATGTTCAAACAAAAAGTATCAATTTTTTTAATAAGTATAAATCCATTGCATAAATTAGTTTTGATATAGAAAACTATCATCAATTATTATTAAAATATAATATTTAGTAAATTTCGTACAAAAAATAAATGTATATTATATTTATAAAGTGAGCAGATGAATAGTTGATATTGAATCATTAATTTTTTAAGTGAATGTAGTATATATATATATATATATTATATATATTATATTACCTACGTTCAGCTTTATGGGATACATTTATTTTTTTACGTGTTGATATTTAAATATTATTTATTTATCAAAATATAATATAAATTAAGAAAAAATGACAATAATACTTCTATTAGTGTCTTATAATATTAATAGAATGACATTTTTCATATTAAGTACACTGACGATTTTTGTCATTTTTCATTAATTTGTACTATATTTTGATATAATAATTAATATTCAAATTTCAACACGTAAAGAGTAAATGTGATTATTAGAGTCGGACGAAGATAGTAGTATATATGTATTTGTTAGTGTTCTTTTTTAGAATCATATAGGTATTAAGAAAAATGATGGTACGTCTGTTTTGTGAAATAATGTGAAGAAATATTTTTATGTAAAGTATAAATTTTTTTATAGATAATATAAAAATAATAAGTATGTGTAATGTAGTATACAATTTTATTATTTTCAATACAAGCATGCTCATTTTTAATATTTTTAAAATTATATATTAATAAATAACTTTAACTATGTATCATGTATTTGATTTTATACAAAATATACAAAAAATAAAAAAATAAAAATCACATTTATATAAATGACAAAAGTTAAAAAAAATATATATTTTTATAAAAGATAGAAATAGAAACTTAAAATTGTAAAATGTTATTTTCTTTTTGTAACTTGATTTTGACATGTTTAATATTTATTTGTCATTACAAGTGGTCCTCAATATTATTTATATACAATGTTTATATGAGTTTGGCTCCAAACCTGTACATTTTTTCTTCCAAGGTTTCTAAATTGTGGCGGCCATGTATATTTGGTTTGTCAAATATAGTTTTGTTTTCTAAATCATGTTCAATTTATTCGTCGAAGTTCTTAAATAATACTCCCTTCGTCCCACTTACATGTTCATGCTGCCGTTTTTGTTCGTCTCACATCTCATGTTACTTTCATTTTTTGGAAAATGATTACCCATTTTAATTTTCTTTTAAATTTTCTAATTTAAAATTTAAATTAAACTAATTAGTTATCTTAATCTTAATTTATAATAATTTATATTATAAATTAATTATTTTTACTAATATATTCTTAATTATCTACTAATTATACTTATCCTAAATTCCGGTGTATACAGTGACCACGACACCCATTGTAGGACGAATGTAATATATGTTTTTTAAATATATATTAACGATACAATTTTTATTGAAAATAATCGATTGGAATATTTTTGACTTATAAATTTATACTCCCTCCGTCCGGACATTCGAGATGGACACGAGAATTAAAGAATAATAGTATTATACTAATAGTATGTGTAAAAGTATTTTTAAAAGATTAAAAAAGTCTCTATTTTAAATAATTATTATGAAAAAATAGAGATAGTTTTGTAAAAAAGTGAAAAACTAGTTACTAAAAATAAAAATGAGACTATTATTTAAGAACGGACGAAAATGACAAAATGAGACTATTACTTTAAAACGAAGGCAGTAGTCTTTTGTGAGAATAAAACATTAGACGTTTTGAACAAAACTATTTAATAAATATATAAAATGATAAAATTTTAGAAAGTATGATGCAAAAAACATGTTAAGATACATATAAGTTATACTCAAAGTAATATTAGCAAAACTAGTACATCTTCGTCTTATAAAAAGGATAATATTTGTCTTTTCCGTCATTATACTTATCGTTAAAAATATTATTATATTTGTATAATGTATTTCATAAATGTCACTGTATTTGTATTATAAGAGATTAATAGAGATATTTTTATCATTTTTTTTATTTGGCTACATATTAATATAATAATTAATATTTAAAGATACTCTTAATATTTTATTTTGATATTATATATATATATATATACACAAAAACCATATATTTCCTTTAATTTGTATTGATTTGAGTTTTTAAATTAATTTTTTGTTTCAATTGTATTTTAGGGATGTATGAATATAAAAAAACATTTTATTTTTTCAAATACAAAATTATACAATCATTTTTGTATGAATATAGAATTCAATGACAAATAAAGTAATATTTATATATAAAAAAAAAAACATTAAAAATCGTATGTATAAATTAAAAATTTTGATTCGAAGAACAATCTTAACAAACCTATATATCAAGGGTGGGGTTTGAATTTTGAGTTAAGATTTGAATAATAAAAATTTTGAATTTGAATAGTTGTATAATGTGATATAAATAGGTGTTGATGTGATATTTTGAATGTAAAATTAATTGTAGTATAATATAAAAATAAAAAATAGATGTTTGATTTGATATTTTTTTAGAAAAAAATATATGAGAAAGAACAGTAAATTTAAAATCCAATCTCCAAACGAAGACACCCTAATATTAGTAGATATTTATATTAATTTATTTTTTTGTATTTAAAGTAGACTTAAAAACCTAACCAATAGGAAGCTTCTACTTCTTAATAAATTTATGTGTATATATATATATACATACATATATGTATATATGCGCGTATGCATCGTATTAGTCATTAACTTCATTTCCTTATCGTCTAATTGATGCAATAGACTTTGTCTTCGCATTTAAATCTCCGTCGATTCGCAATCGATCCGTCCGATCGCCGGTGAAATGTTGATGCTAGTAAACTGCTCCAACTGCCGGACGCCTCTCCAGCTGCCGCCCGGCGCCACCTCCATCCGCTGCGCTATTTGCCAGGCGGTTACGCGAGTAGCGGATCCCCGACACGGACCGCCGCCGCCTGCCCCTGCGCCACAGCCCTACCAGCCATCTAGTTCGTCCTCCGCCAACGGATATTACCCTCCGCAGCAGCAGCCTCCTTCGCCGTACAATCACGCGCCTCCAGGACCTCCGCCATCGCCACACGGGCGGAAGAAGGCGGTGATTGTGGGGATCTCGTATAGGTACTCGAGGCATGAGCTGAAAGGATGCATTAATGATGCAAAGTGTATGAAGTATATGCTAATCAATCGGTTTAAGTTCCCCGAGTCTTCAATTCTCATGCTCACTGGTAATTGATTCTCTTCGATTCCTTCCGTAGATTGATTTTTTAAATTTCCATTACTAATTTTTAATTTCCGGATTTGATTTCTTTCTGACGGATCGTGATCTGGATTATAATTAAATTTTTTAGATGTACAAGTTGGGTTTATGAATTGATCAAGGAGTAACTAGGAATGATTTCGGAGTTGTTGGAATGCAAATAGTGTGTGGTGATTCTTAATATATGAAGAAAGGATATATGTTAATTCATCTCTAACATTGTATGAAGTCTTAATTGAATTTTGAGAGCTTGAAGTATGATTTTAATTCCGTTTGATTGAACTCGTTTGTTCCTTGCTCTTCTTTGTGTCTTTTTCTCTGATTCATATTGGTGGAAAGCCCCAAACCTTTTGGTTTATCGTTGCTGTCTTCCCCAACTTTTTAGCAGAAAATAAGCACCAATAGTTTCTGTAAGCAGTAGCTACAGTTGTCTATGTTGAATTTTTCAACGAGTAACATTATTGGAAGGTTTGTTGAATTGTTTAAGCTAAAGAAAAGTTATTGGTTGGAAGCAACTTGTTTTCCTAATGCACAAATCATATTCATCCTGAACTTTCCTGGATTCTAAAGGCTCTTCTAATTACCATTCACGTGTCTTATGTTGAAAATGTATATTTGCCTGTTTGTGATAGTCAGAACATAGGGAATCTTTGCTTTTATAGTAAATGAAATTATCTGATGTGCTGTCTTCAAATCATGGATTATTGAGATCTAAAAAATGGATGACATCCTTAGAAAGATTCAGAAGAAACCAGAAATGATTGAAAATTGTTACTAGATTTGATTACATGTCGATGTCGGGGGGATTTAAGTTTTGATAATTATCCACCCTGAGGGAGTGAATATGCCGAATTGATTTAACTTTTGATAGCAAATTTAAGATGAGGTCCTTAAGTTTAGGCCAAAAAGTAAGGAATCTTATGGTAGTTTTCACTTCAGTTGTATGAGTTACAGTTGAAAGGGTAAAAAGAATCTAACAACAGAGAAGATATGCACATTGCATCGACAATGACAATAAACAAAAATTCTTAGTCTTGAATGAAGAGTGTATTAATTTCTTTCAACTCCAACTTACTTTATGCTGTGAATCTCTATGAAGAAAATATGTTTGTTTGGAGAAGGTGCAAGGATTTTGGTTCTGTATAGAAAGAAGCATATTTTAATGCAATTAAGCTATGTTTAATAAGTTCCTCATTATAATTAAATCCTTCTGTGGAAGTGTCTTTACAGAAGAAGAAACTGATCCATACAGAATCCCAACCAAGCAGAACATTAGGATGGCTATGTTTTGGCTTTTGCAAGGCTGCCAGCCAGGCGACTCGCTGCTTTTTCACTATTCCGGACACGGTTCACAGCAGAGGAGCTACTCAGGAGATGAAGTTGATGGATATGATGAGACAATATGTCCTCTAGATTTTGAGACACAGGGAATGATTGTCGATGATGAAATTAACGGAACACTAGTCAGGCCTCTTCCCAGGGGAGTCAAGCTTCACGCCCTTGTAGATGCCTGCCACAGTGGCACAGTGCTTGATTTGCCATATCTTTGCAGAATGGACAGGTTTGATTCATTTTAAAAATTAAGCATTTGATTTGGATCAAGTCCTGCAGATAATAAGCCTTGATATGCATGATGCTTTAATGTTTGATTTTATTACGTGTCTATGCAGAACTGGGCGATATATATGGGAGGATCATCGTCCTCGATCCGGGGCATGGAAAGGCACAAATGGGGGAGAGGCGATATCCTTCAGTGGCTGTGACGATCATCAAACTTCTGCTGATACAGCTGTAATTTTTGCACCTTGGCACCATATTTCCTGATTGAGCAAATTGTTGCATTAATCCATTTCTAACCGGCGTAATTGCTTAAACATGGAACAGGCTCTGTCCCAGGTTACTTCAACAGGTGCCATGACCTATGCTTTCATTCAAGCAATAGAAAGAGGACAAGGAACAACCTACGGAAGTGTTCTGAATGCAATGAGGTCTACCATCCGCAGGACTGATGCAGACATCGGAGGGGGCGCCGTGACCACACTTATCACCATGCTTTTGACGGGTGGTAGCACTTCCGGTGCTGGTCTGAAACAGGTATCAATTTCATCCAAATAGTGTCGTATATTAATAAGATAAGGATTCGAATTGTGATATATCTTTTCACTCGGTAATGTTTTCATTTGCTTTGCAGGAACCACAGCTTACATCCAATGAAATATTTGATGTCTATACAAAGCCGTTTTCACTGTGAGTTGCGTGCCGTCAGAGTACGAAAAATTCAAACTACTTTGGCCTTGTTTCTTTTTTCGTAGTTTTAGTCTTTCGTTGAAGCTTGTTTAGTTTTTATGCTTATAAAGTCTTGACATGTCTGTGTATTTATTATCTATCGCGTCGTCGTACGTATTCAGTTGGTTTGCCTATGAACGGAAATATGGAATAGAAAGCGTGCTATTCTTCTACTTCTGTTAGTATGTAAATATTTCATATAAAAACCCCATGAATGTATGTATTTCATAACACATATCTTAGCAAGCTCTGGAAGATGTGTTTTGCTCTTGTTCGATAGCGTTCTTCAGCAGCATGCATTGTTTCCTGTACCGTTCATTGTCCTTCGACGCCATGTCTTCGTACTCCTGCCAGAATGCAATCGAGTCTGTGTGAAGAAGAATTTCAATCCTGCAACTCAGTTGAAGAAATTCTCTGTAAGTGCTCCGTACCTTCTTCTTATCTTTGGTGAGTCTGATCCACTTGTTGCTCAATCGCCGGCTTGTTTCTTCAAATGAGGCGCGCTCAACTGCGCGCCAGTTGCCGATCAGGAAGTACGCGTAGGCGTTGCACGGCCGTACAGGCAGGCTCCGGCGCCGGAGCATTTTGGCGAACACGTCATGACTTCTGCCTGTGCTCTCAGCTGCCTTTCGTTTCGTCTCCGCTCTCGCTCTCCTCTTCTCCGACGTGCTAGCGGAAGCGCTGCGCTGCTGCCTGGCTGGATAGTACCTCACCGGAGTCAAAGCGCCGCTCCGCAGCCTCGTAATCACCTTGTTTACCTGTGAAGTTTCTTCGTTCTCAGAAATTGCTTCGTCGTTGTAAATCAAGGTCTCGCGAGTACAAGGTGGAGTCCGGTGCGAAGAACACGGCGCGGATTCGACGGCGCCACCGGCGTTTTCAGGTTCTGGAATGTTCGTGTTTGGAAGTTGGTTGAAGGTGTCGGAGGAATCGCGTGCGCTTTCAACTACGGGAATGTTTGTCTTCGAAAAGTTGTTGACGGTGGCGGACGAACGGTGGTCCTTTCTATGGATGTTGAATTGGACGGAGAATTGCAGCTCGCCGGTGTCGCCTTGGACTTGAACGGTGTCGCCGGTGAGAGAGCCGCATACCTGGAGCGGAATCGACGGAGACGGCGTTGATGGAGATGAGAATGACGGAATATCCATGGTAAGATCGTTCCTATCATTACCGTCCGCCATTTACACATCGAAGTGGAAGAATTGACCAGGGGAGAATGATTTATGGCCGATCAATCCAGCCGATCCTTAGCGAAACGCTACGTTGGTTGGTGCCTGGTGGAGAAGACGAAGAACACATTTTCGAAAAGGTAATATCTTGAATTTCAAATTTAACTTGAATTAATTATTTGGTGTCTTAAAAATATTTTAAATAAAAAATTAAATTTTCATAGTAGTAATTTTTAAAATAAATTTAATCTAAGTAGAAACAATTTTAAGAAATACAAGTAAACAAGCAAAGGTTTACAAATAAATTATGCAATTCAATCACCTATATACATTTGGAAAAATTTAATAAGAGTATAATTTTAGTCGGTATGTGTATAACTTATCAAAAGCTATCAACAATGCAAATAAGAACATATAAAATAGACAAACATAGTGTGTTTTTATTTTTATTTAATACTAACGCATTAAGTACTTTCTCCGAATCCAATATCATGTCCTCTTTGCTCGACTATAGAGACCAAAATTTTGTACAATATAATTAGTAAATAATTAAAAGTATATTAGTAAATAATTATATAATAAAAATAATTATATATCAAGATTAAAATAATTTATTAGTCTAATTAAAATTTAAAAAAATTATAAATTTAATAATTTAAAATAAAATTAAAGTGTATAATTATATAATTCTTTTTAATAAAATAAAAATGACAAGTGGAACACACGGAAATGAAAATGTAAATGTATTTATATAATTATTTCAAATTAATTTTAGCATATGTTAGTATGTAGTTATATCATATATTATTAATTATGTTAACATAAATAATATACTACCGACGAAGATGTATATAAAAAAATTCTTAAGATAAATGAGTAAATGAGAGTATATTTTTTTCATTTTTACTAGTATAGTAAATATAAACGTGACAAGATATTAATTATCAAGATTCTACTTTTACTTTAACAATATATTCCGTTTTATTCCAAAACAAAATAGGTAAACCTCACCTCTAGCACTAACTACACATTTCTGCGTTTAATTCAGATTCACTCACAAGATTCAGATTCTTATTATGCACTAATTCTATATCTAGTCATTAAGTTCTCAGGCCCAAAAGCCACTGTACTCATCAACGGCCAGGATTCATCCATCGAAAAGCAATGGGTGGCTCTGAACCGTTCGTTAAAATCGATATAACAGAACCGGTTTATCCATCCACAGCCATACCCATACAGGAAGGCTCAAACTCACAGCAGCTTTGGTGTTTCCTCCTCCCTGCAACCATGGCGTTGGCGCCACACGTTTCGTCTTGTTCCCTTATGTCTCTCTCTAAAGCTCCTCTGATACAGAAGAAGAAGCCTAGAAACAACTTGTTGCCCTTCATCCGGTCTCGTAATTTGGTGAAAGTTCGAGCTTCGGCCCCTGATTTGCTCGGCGATTTTGGAGCTCGGGACCCTTTCCCAGCCGAATTGGAGAGCAATTTTGCTGAGAAAGTACAGGGAAACGTCGACACCGAGCACAAGATTTTGATTCCGACTTCTTCGGCCTTGTCGTTGGCGCAACGAGACTGCGTTCCCGTTTCTGAGATTCAGCAGCCATTGTCGGAGGATGAAGCTAAAAAGCTATTGCTCAAGGTATTTTAAATTTTTAATTTTTAATTTTTTATGATTGATGTGTGATTCCTATTAATTTAATTTCCATCTTCTTATGATTGATTGATTTTGTGAAAATTGTTGTTGGTTAAAGGTTGTTGGTTGGAGACTTGTGGATGAAGAAGGGTGTTTGAAGCTGAAGGGTTTGTGGAAAGTGAGAGATGTCAAATGTGGGGAAGAGCTAATCAATCGGATAAACAAGTGTGTTGAATCAACTGGTCATCTTCCCACAGTTCGTTTGGAAGATGAATCCAATCAAGTTACAGCTGAATTGTGGACTTCTGCCATTGGTAAGTTTAAGTTCAAGCTTAAGCTTAAAATCTATGGATGTTTTGCTGGAATTTAATTAATGTTGATGATGATGCAGGCGGGTTGAGTATCAATGACTTCATCGTTGCTGCAAAGATTGATACCATAAAAGTATCAGATCTTCAACCTAGATTGAGAGTTTGGGCTTAGATGAAGAAAAAATCATTCCTAAGGTAATTTAAGTTTTTTCGTTTGATTGAAAGAGAACAAGTGTGCAGTAATAGTTCATTGTTATTATTATTATTTTTACATCATATCTAGTAGCAATTTCGGAAATTAGTCGTCGGGGCTATACAGAGGAGCTTCAACGGCGCCGGTTTTCCACGTCCGGCAAATCGGGCAAAACCTCGTCGTCGGTTCGCACTGCCGGCAGACGGAAATGTGGCAGCACGGCATCACCTGCAGCGTTGCCACTCCCACCCGATTACACCTCCGGCAGTCGATCCTCACCCTCCGTTTCAACGACTCTGCTTGCTCCCGCGCCGCCGCCTCTGCCTGCCGCCGGGCGGCTGCAGCTTGTTGCAAATCCGCCCTGAGGTGCAACATTTCCTTCTCTAAGTACACCTTCTTCGCCGCCAGCTTCGTCGCCTCTGTTAGGAGCTCCTCCGCCTTCCTCTCCACCTCCGCCTTCTTTGCCCTCGCCCTGTTGTACGATAATTCGATTTCTTTCTCCTTCAGCCTTTTGGCCGCGGCCGCGATTCCCGCTTCCTGCATTAGCCTCTCTTCCTGCATGAAACCGTGAATGTTCTTCGTCAGTTTTTCGACTTTAGTCGAAGGCGACGTTTGATTGTGTTGAATTAGTGTTACATGATATATAAACAATTGCTCGAAATTCCGGTCGGCTTCAATGCCGGAGATCAAGAAGGCAGTGAAGGAGAGCGGCGACGGCGCAGCGATGTTTGGTATTTGCTGCGGCGGCGGCCTGACACTGGAGTCGCCGGCGGTGGCCGGGGAGTCGTCGGTAGCAACTTCCTTCAGATTATAGTTATTGTTGTTAGTCTCTGCCATCGCCGGTGGCGGCGAGTCTTCTGCAACTTGCTTCTGTTTACGCTGATGAATTTGATTGTTATGGGTGATGGTGGTGTGGTGGTTCATTGCCGGCGGTGGAGGTTGCCGGCGGCGGAGGAGTGAATAAATAGAGAGGGAAAGGGTTCTCTGGTTAGTATCAACAGATGCCTGTTTTGGGGAGAATCGTCGTGTCGATCCAATTAGTTGATTTTTAAGATTTAAATTAATTTATAACACAACGATTTATAACTCAACTGCTAAAAACGAATCTGTGTCTTTTAATTAAATATATATGCAACGGTTAATCCAAAAACTTAACAAATAATAGGGTTAAAGATTTGTTTGGTTTGTGTTTGATTTTGAATTTAAGTTTGATTTTGATTTTTTTTTATTATTATTTTTTGTTTAAATAGAAAAAGGTTACTTGATATTTTATTGGAGAATATAACTAAATAGTAGAAAAATTAATTTGTAATACAAGATCCATAGTCCTATGTTCGGAAAATAAAATATATATAGGGAGCTTGAATTTAAGAAATTGGGGAGATACTATGCAAAATATTTAACATATATAGAATATCCTCTCATCATTTATTTATGTACATTTTATTTTTTATAATAAAAAACTATAGAAAACAATATAATTTTTTTACTAAAAGAAAATTAGAATAATTTTTATATCAAGTCCAAAAGAAATATAAAAATAAACTTGGATGATAATGAAATAATATTAGATGAGATCTTGTATATTATTTTGGAGTTTGTTTTCATTATTTCTTTTGACTTTTCGTTTCATTTGAATGTATTGTATTCGATAAAAATCATTATATATATATATATATATATATATATATTTAAAGAATTTCTATGATTATATATTATATAGTAAAAAAAGGAATCGGAAGTCCAAATATTAATAAACTAGGAGATTATCTGAATTTTAAACTTTTGTTTAAGTTTTCTTTTGAGAATCGTTTCATTTTACGATTGCCAATTATTGGGTGGTCACAATCCAAATTTGGTTTCATTTTTTTTGTCTAGTATGGTAAAGTAATATCCACCAAAACTGTCATCCCAAACATTTTTTATATTTCAGTTTTTATTTTCTAAGACAGATTCATTTGTATTTTATTACTGCATGAATAAATTATGTTTTAAAAACACGTCGATGGGGTTAGAAAAAGTGCTTAGCGATGATATAATAAGAATAAAATCAATAGAGACTTCATAAGAGACCATTTGAATTGCCGATCCTAATGCTTCTACAGATGATTTATTATATATGTTATTTTATCGTCTAACCAATAATATTATCCAACATAAAATTATGAAAAATATTTTATTTTATAGTAAAATATAAATTTGATTAAAAGAAAGAAAAAGATCTTCAATCCTCAGTGTATATGTAGAAATGTTGATTGATAACGTGAGAGTGAGTTCACTTTATTCTTCTTTTTGCTGTTAAAGAATGAAAACAGATCGAATTTTCATTTCTATTTCACCTATTTATTATTTTACACAAAATTAAAACACACATAAATGTGACAACATTGTGCAGTCACAGTCACTACAAGAAATTATCAATTTTGTAATGAGATTTTTTGGTTACTAAATTCACTTTTTCTGTTACTAATGATATTAGAGACGGAATTAGAGATGGAATTACGTTAGCTATGTGAGCTTTATGAACGAAATTCCGTTACAAATATACTAATTTTTTTGTAGTGAGTAATCGATCAACTCTATTAATTTATTGTTCCATATTATTACATAATATCATTACCATAAACAGATCAATATTTAATTAACTAATAATCTAATAGACCCTAATTAATTAATTTATTGGTGAGGGCGCTGACTGCTGCTCCCGCGATTAATTTCAACGCCGCGGACTTTCGCCGCGCCGCAAACCGGGCAGGACTTCGCCGCCGGTTCACAGTCCGTACAGACCGCCACGTGGTAGCACGGCAGCAGCACCACCGTCGCCACCCTACCCTGGTTGCAAATCCAGCAGTCCGTACGCAGCCACCTCATCATCGCATCGGCCTCCCGCCACGCCAGCGCCTCCGCCTCCGCCGCCGGCTGCGCCTCCCCTCTAAGGTACAACAATTCCTGCTCAATGTACCTCATCCTCGCCGCCAGCCTCCCCGCCTCCGCCATCATCTCCTCCGCCTGACTCTCCAGCTCCGCCTTCTTCGCCATAACTTCCGACAGCTCCTCCTCCTTCTCCTTCAGCCTCTTCGCCGCCCTCTCCTCCGCCGTGCGGGGGCTGCTGCTGCTTCCCGCCTCCTGCGGCGGCGCCGCGGCGGCGGCGGCGGCGGCTTCCTCCCTCAGCTTCTCTTCCTGCACAATTCAAAATTAATTAAACACCGTCAGTTAATTTCTTCATAAGCATCGCCGGCGACATTTGACGGCGTTATAACGGCGTTACGTGGAGTGAGATCATCTCCTCGAGATTTCGCTCGTCGGAGGCAGACTCCGCCATGGCTGACGTCAGGAGTGACGTAAACGAGAACGGCTGCACGTACGGCGCCGCCCTGTTCAGTATTTGCTGCACCTGCGACGGCCTGTCACTGGTTGCGCCGCCGGCCGGAGGTTCTACGTCTTCCGTAGCAACTTCCTTCTGCTTATTATTATTATTAGTTTCCTCCATTATCGCCGGCGGCGAGTTTTGTGCATCTGCAGAAGGAACTTCCTCCTGCTTATTCTGACTTTGACTGTTGTTGTCTGCCATTGTTGCTGGTGAAGAAGGTTACAGGTGTGGCGGAGATGGAGAATGGCGGCGGAGGAGGAGTGAATAAATAGAGAAGGAAACGGTGGCAGCCATTGGAGGAGGTTCTTTTTCTTCTTCTTCTTTGTTTGGGAGAATCGTCATGTCGATCAATCAATTTGGTTCGTTACTTACAGTTATTATTTGAATTTTAATTATTCAAAATCCATTATATTTATATATGTGGGATTTTTTTAAATCTAAAATAATAGCAATGCAGCAATTAAAGAAAAGTTTATGACTCAAAATATTATATTTAATTCATATTTTTCTGAATAAAATGTGGCATTTAATAATTATTTTTCATAAATTTTTAAAATTCAATACAACTCAAAAATGTTCATAACACTTAACAGTGTTCGCAGCATTTCTTTTAATAAAATAATTTTTGGTGTGTGATATAGAAAATTATATTAAAAATATAAAATATGTTATTTTAAATTGAATATTTAATTTTTTATTTATTATAATGAGTATTTTGACTTCTTTATTTTTTATAAAATATTTTGTATTTATTATTATTGTTAACACTTCTTTTCAAATTCAAGATATGATCGAACAAACTTGAATTTATCAGAAGTGACCGAAAAAGATACAGCCGAGATCTTCCACGTATAAATCTGAATTCGCCAAGATTGATGCCATCCACTGGATCAGAGTCAGAAGCAGAACTCTCAATACCGTTAGAGTTGGAAACAGGACTCAAAAAAAAATATAAAAAATAAGATTATCGTACATATTTTATTTTTTATTTTTTTATGTTAGAATGTGAAAGTGAAATTCTCTATTCAATCATAAGATTACGTACATATTTATAGTTATAGTGATATATAAACTATTTAAATAAGACAAAAATCCTACAAATTTCTTAAATAAGATAATTATCATAAATATAATATATTGTTTCTAAATATATATCAACAATTATTATCTTTGAAAAATAGTATTAAAAGAACTGAAAGTGAAATTCTATTTTTTATATACCAATGAACAGATTTATTCTTTTATTTTTAAACCGCAGCAAAATCTAAACATCGGATGTAATAAAAAATTAGCATAATTAAAAATAATAATATAAGTTTCATAGCAAACTTGTGTGTCTGATTTATATTTCAACTTTATTTAATCCATATGATTTTTTTATAAAAATGTCTTCTTTTTTTTCAAAACAATACATCAAGATCAAAAATTCAAATAAAAAGTTCAATTTCATATCAAAATTAAACAAACCCTTGTATTTGTAAATGCAAAGAGGTCGAGAAGCAGTTTAGGAAGACCTGATGAAAATCTAGCAAGAAATGAGCATAAATCCGAAGGATTTGAATGATTGGATAAGATTGGAAAATCCAACAAATTAAAAACCACAACACAATGGTTATTTTCGTTTGTTGGATTTTACATAAATTCTACTAATTCATCAAATTTTTTTTCCCCAAAAATATTAAATCAAACATCTATTTTTTATTTTTCTATATTATTCTAAAAAATTTAATTTTACATTCAAAACATCGTATCAACGCCTATTTATATGACATTATACAACTATTATAATTCAAAATTTTTACTATTAAAATAGACATCTTGTTAATTTCTATAATCAGCGCACACATAACATATGAATGGATATTGTTGAGTACAAATATAATAATAATAATAATGTATTGGACTTATAAATTAGATTGATGTATAGTCCAATGGGCCTAATACGGAAGTCCGTCAAAAAAAAGAAGTCGGGCAAGGAAAGGTGATTCGGCAGACAAGGAGGTCGGACAAGATAAAGTCGGGCACGGAGGTCGGACAAGATAAGGTTGGGCACGGAGGTTGGACAAGATAAGGTCAGACACGGAGGTCGGACAAGATAAGGTCGGGCACGGAGGTCGGACAAGATAGGGTCGAAAGAGGAAGTCGGGAGAAGAAGGATGAGACGGCCGATACGGAGGTCGGTCGCAAGAGGAAGTCGGGCGAAGAAGGGTGAGACGGCCGATATGGAGGTCGGTCAAAAGAAAGGTCTATTAGTTGGTCGTTTAATTAGGCGGTCTGTTAATAGCCTGATCGATTGGCCGGTCATTTGATCAGACAGTATTTCAGTCGCTTGATTGGCCGACCAATGAATCGTCTAAACGAATAGTTGTTCAGCCGAGTGAAGGAACTAGATGGTGGTCGCTTGATTGGGCGACCAATGAATCGTCTGGATGAATGGTTGTTCAACCGATTAAAAGGACTTGATGGTGGTCGTCTGATTGGAGCGACCAATGAATCGTCTTGACGAATGGTTGTTCAGCCGATTGAACGGACCAGATGGTGGTCGCTTGATTGGGCGACCTATGAGTTATTTGGTCTAGCGACCATTTAGTATCTGGATTGGTCGGTTGGTCAATCGTTGGGTTATTCGGTAGGTTCAATTAGTGGATGGTCCAGACGATTTCTCAGTCGGATGGTGATTTATAATCCGTTTGAAAAGGTGTTCAGAGGCGGTCGGTCGAGGCAGTTAAGTCCTGTGATTGGCAGGAGCGGTTGGCGAGACGGTTAAGACACGTGAGGAATTAGTGGGCGGTTGATAGCGGTTGCTATAACTGACTAGACGACGGTTCAAACTGTTTCTTTAAAGGGTTATTTAAGGATTTGAGTATGTTCTGAAAAACCATCTTCAATAGACAAATTCAAGTGAATTGCTTTTGGGGATCATCATTTACTTTTCAAGTATTTATTTTTCTAGTTTGCTTATATATTGTACTGTATTTAGAAATTCTTAATCTCATACATTTATTTTATCAAATTCGAAGATAATTTCTATTTTTGAATTTTACTTTCTATTTTTATTGTTAAAAAATTACATCAATATATATTTTTTTTAAGATGTAGGCTCAAAATAAATAAATAAATAAAACCTCATCCCATACGATCTGTAACACATTTTATGCAAATATCATTTCGTTTGTGTTCACAATTTGTCCAAACATTATCGTACTACACTGTTTAGTGCAGTACAAATTGTTATGCTCGCAGTACAAACATCCAACTACATAACCCATATTTTAATATTTTCATCATATTCAATTTACCCCTCCTTTTATATCTTTTTATCACTTTAACCCCCTCAACAACCCCACGAAATATTACACTTTGGCCTTTGCCCTCACTCTATTAACATTGCGAGTCCTATTTGATAATTTCAGGAGTAGAATCAACAGCGGCATATAGTTTAGGGGTCAAAGTAGAAATTTCTGCTAACTAATAGTAGTATAAATTGAATAGACTTGCCAAAGACACACGACTCAAGCGTACAGAGGATCACGTGTTTCCCTCGTGCTAGATTCCCGGCTGGTGACTGCGTATCCATGGCGGCGTCTGCTCCGGTGGCGTTTTCCACTCCGTTGAAATGTGGCTTCTTCTCCTCCTCTCAAGGTGTTTTTTCCGTCGTGTACTGCAGCAAATTACTCATTAAAAGCGTTTTGGATTGGAATTCCTCTTCGTGAAATGTATAATTTTGTTGCAGGATTTTCTGGAACAACTCGAGGCTTAAACTGGAGAAAATTTGATGTGAGAATCTGCGTATAATATATGTTCACCTTATCGGTATTTCTTCAAGTATATAAATATATATGTATATTGATCCGTTTTGGTTGAGTGCTGTTGAGGTGTTCGACAAAACGACCAAACAGAGCTGTAATCGACACACCTTTTCATCACGGAGTTCAGAATTAGCACAATTCAGTATTTGCCTTCTTCTTCATAGTATAATAATTCAATCAGGTTATTTTTTATGTTACAGAATAGGAAAGCTAAGAAAGCTTCAAGAGGTGTAATTACAGCAAAAATCGATCTAAAGCCTCCCCCTTATCCACTTGTAAGACTGCCTTTCACATTTGCTGCATGAGTTCATTGATATGCGGAGATGATGATATTAATGATGAATGTGTTGATTTTCAGTAGTAAGCTAATGCAATTACAAGACAATGGTTGAATCAGTAGGATCTGTTTCCTGTTAGGATTATCAATTCTTATGGTAAATTGTGTATATGATTTCTCTACATTGTCGGTAACTTGCCTCTGCTGAGTATTTAGGATGCTTTAGAACCTCATATGAGTCGTCAAACTTTTGAATTCCATTGGGGGAAGCATCACCGAGCTTATGTCGATAACCTCAACAAGCAAATAGTTGATACGGAACTTGATACAAAGTCATTAGAGGAAATCATTCTTGCTACCTATAACAAGGGTGATTTCCTCCCTCCCTTCAACAATGCTGCACAGGTATTCTCGAGAAGACTTTCCAATTCTCGATATGTGATTTGTGTATTTTCTCAGTTTTCAAAGAGTCGATTGTCACTTGTTATAATTTAAAACTTGTCTGTTGATACTCATCTCCAACGAATCTGTCATTCGCTTTCTACCTCACTCGCTTGCAAGGAAACGATGAACAAAGCTGCTTTCTTCTGTTACCTAGGTGTGGAATCACGACTTCTTCTGGGAATCCATGAAACCAGACGGAGGAGGCCAACCATCAGGCGAACTCCTGGAATTGATCAATAGAGACTTCGGCTCATTCGATGCGTTCATCAGTGAATTCAAGGCAGCTGCAGCAACGCAATTCGGTTCTGGTTGGGCGTGGCTCGTCTGTAAGCAATGCAACTACATACCTTCGATTTTATTAGCCACGCACAGTGTAACTGTTTAGAGATGAAGATAAGACCAGGTGATAGCGGCGCTGTCTTTTTGTGCAGACAAAACCAATAAGCTTAATGTAGGAAACGCTGTGAATCCCCGCCCATCCGAGGATGACCAAAAGCTTGCATTGTTGAAGAGCCCAAATGCCATAAACCCTCTTGTCTGGGGCTATTCTGTGAGTACATTCGATTTATGTGTTTTCCTTATTTGTGGTCCTATGAAGCTTCTTTCTTGTTACAACAAATCTCGATTCCCTTTTAACTGTTTCGCATCGTCAATTGTTGCAGCCGCTGATGACTATAGATGTTTGGGAGGTAAGAAAATGAATCCCCGGCCTTCTCCTCCTCTCATTCCTAATGATAATTTCATTGTGATCACATGAAATTGTCTTCTAACATTTTATGCCTGTTCCTACAGCACGCTTACTACCTCGACTTCCAGGTTCGCCTGCTTCCATATTAAGCTTTTCGGCATGCTTCTCTATTCTACATTGTTAGCTAATTATCACCAGATTTCCCATGTCATTTAATCCAGAATCGTCGCCCGGACTATATAGCTACCTTCTTTGAAAACCTCATCTCCTGGGATAAAGCAAGCTCTCGGCTCGAAGCTGCTAAGGCTCAACCCACCTAGCCCAGTAGGTACATTGCGCCAATACTAGATCAAAAATTTCAGACACTAGTGCCGGTAATCAAAGAGTTCCTACTCTAAGTGCGCTTAACATTCTTCGTATTCGTAAGAATTTTCTACCAGCATCGATTTTGTATTCGTAATTATGATTCAATAACGCAATTCCCTTGTCAATTTCTGTTGTAAAAATCTCTACAGAAAACAACACACAAGATGGCCTCCAGAACTATGAGAAGTTTAGAATTCGATTACGAACAAACTCGGCTTCCTTCGCCTTTCCTTGAGCTTCAAGTGCATTCCTCAGCTGCTCCAAGCAAGTCAAAGGCTGTCGAATTCCTCTCTCCAAGAGCTCATAGTAGAGCTTAAATGCTTCTTCTAACTTGTGTGACTTGCAAAGGCTGCTTAAAACCATGTCGTAGATTCCCGTGTCGATCTCCTGGCGATTCGCTAAACTGATCATCACCAGCCCACATGCCTCCGATGACTTCCCCTCCCGGCAAAGGATGGGAATCAGTTCGCTCATATTCACAATGTAACCCTGCTTATAAAGACTTGTGACGAGCTGAAACGCCTTGTCGCGCAACCCGCTTCTGAATAGCAGTCGAACAGTGTCGGTTGAGAGATTCATGTTTGGTCGAATCTCCTTCTCCAGCAACAACATCATCAAGCCCATCGATTCTCGAGGAGAGCCCTTTTCGATGAGCGACATGAGAACACGGTGGAATAGAGATGTTCTCGGTCGATACGAGCTTTTCACCATTTTCAGCAGAGCGTCGAACGCTAGGCCTGCTTCGTGCATCTGTAAGAGGCCCGCGATTAAAGACTCGTAGATCGTAACATGAGGTGTAAAGTATCTCCGCAGCATCAGGACCAAGAGGTTATAGCCGCGCTCGAATGTTCCTTCTCTGCAATGCCCCGAGATCAGAGTTTCGAAGGCGTTGGGATCCTGTGTCCCTCGCTTCATTAACTGCCGGAACACTCTCTCGGCTTTCTTTGTTTTCCTATTCGCGCATAAGTACTCGAAAATTGGATTGTACGCCGCCACGAGAGGAGTGCGATCGCCGTCGCGCAACAGAATTTCCTCCTCGAACAGCTCGTCAAGCAGCTGCTCCGCCTCGTCGAACCTCCCGTTCTTACACAAAGCGCGGATCAGAACACTATATGTCGCCGAGTCCCGTTTGACACTAAGCTCCTTCATCTTCTTGAAACCCTTCAACGCCTCGTCCAGATTCCCGTTGTCGCAATGCGCATTCATCACCGTGTTGAATGTGCAAGCGTCGGGAACAAATCCTCCCTCGCATTCATTCAAAATCTCCTTCATCGTATCCAATCTTCGGGTTTCGCAAAGTCCTTTTATAATCGTGTTAATCGTAATCCCATTCGGCTTGATCCCGTCGCCAATCATCTCACTGAACACATCAATCGCCTCGTCGATCTCGCGGCGCTCGCAATACCCTCGAATCAAAGTAGTGTAAGTGACGACATTCGGCCTCAAAGCGTCGCCCTTATTTCGCATTGCGGCCACCACATTCCGGGCTATATTCGCCTTCCCGGCTTGGCACAATCCGTCAACGATGGTGCTGTACGTTACGACGTCCGGCCGGCAGTCGAAACTCTCCATTTCTTTGAACATTCTAAAGGCTTCATCAACCATGGAGTTCTTGCAGAACCCTCTGATCAAAATGCTGAAAGTGTACAAATCAGGCTTCACTCCAAACGTCCTGAGCATTTCGTCGAACACCTCATAGACCATTCCTACCTTTCCCCTTCTAAACAGAATTGTAAACAAACTGTTGAATGTAACAACGGAAGGTGAAATCCCCATCGATTTCATGGCCTTGAACACCTTAATCGATTCCTGGAAAAGCCCTGCGTCGCCATAGCTACGGATTAAGGTGTTGAAGAATTTGTCAGTCAGGGGGACAGTGAAGTCGGATTTTTTGGGTATGGACAGCAGGAAATTTCGAGCAGTGTTTAGGTTTCGTGCCTTCCCCAGAATTTCCAACATCATGAAGTAAGAGTGATGGTTGTGGATAAAACCCGAATCTCGTGTCCAGTTGAAGAAACGGAGGGCTTTCAATGGAGTTTTTATGCGGCGGAGAGTTTGGAAGAAGGTTGTTTGGGAAATTGGAGTTTGGAAGGAGAGTCGAGCCTCCAATTGAGATGACCAAGGCTGCGCGTTGATGAGTCTAGCCATGGCTTGAGCTTTCTGTGATTTTTTGGATTTCTGATTTGCAGAATCGACGTCCTCTTCCGTCGTAGCGACAGCGGCGGTGGCGGTTGCTGCCGGTGGATTGGAGAATACGTGGCTGAGTTTTGTCGGTAATCTGAAATTTGGCGGCAATTTCGTGTTTCGGAGAGGAGAAGAGATCGCCGGAGCCATGGATGGCGACGGAAGTTCTGTTACGCCGCCGGAGTTCCGCCGAGCGCCGTCGCTGGTCCGGTGCAGTATTGGCTTTATAAATCGTTTTTCCAAATCTGACGTTTAATTTGAAGAAAAAAGGCGTGATTTACTGTGAAATGCGATTTAGACGTTTTGTTAAGGCTCAGTATTTTTGGGCCTGGGAAGGCCCAAATTAGGGAGGCCCATTAAGGAGGAAATATAGTCTCATTGTCGCCGTCTCAGATCTTTCATTTTCCCCAAACACTCAGGCGGAGCTAACCATCGATTGTGAAAATGTTGCGACACGGTGCACGATTCCTCCTCAGCCGAGCTTCTGCCGCCTCCACGAGGTGGAGCCGCCAATTGTCCACTGATCTCCCTGCGGAGGAGATCGGGGATTCGAAATTCATTGAAACTTGGAAGAAAGCGATGCCCAATATGGACCCTCCGAAAACACCTTCGGCTTACATGGCTCCCCGGCCTCCGACGCCATCCACTATTCCCTCGAAGCTTACTGTGAATCTTGTTCTTCCTTATGAGTCTGCTTTGTCTGCAAAAGAGGTAAATTTTCTGGTGCATAAGGTTATTTCATTCGGTAATTTTTCGATCTTGTTGATACAGGATGCTCTTTCGTTATCATTTTAGATTCGTACCGGATTTATAGTGATTAATTAAAGGAATTACGTTAATTGTTTGATTGGTGTTAGCTGCTCGAGGATGCCTCTGTGTTTTGAGATGAATTTGTTTTGACAATTTGATTCTATGGAATTAGGTTTACCGGTTTTTTGGTAATTATCACTGTATTTTGGATAATTGTATGATGAGAGTTGTGTATAGTCGCACATAAGTGCTGTCTTAGGAATATGCCTTCGCAATTGAATCGGATTTTAGGACTTATCTCATGGCTATTCTCCGATTACCCTGTTACTTTTTTTCTTTCCTGCATTTTATTCATCAAATAGAATTCTTCCTCATTTGCATTTCTAAGATTTTATAAGTATTCGTTATCAGTAGTAAAACTTTTTTTTTTATTTTTTGTAAAATTAGGGATTCGTGATTGTTCTGTTCTTCATCGATACAATAAATAGTGTTACTTTTAAAAAAAAAAAGATCTACATTTTAACGCCATTTCTTTGGGCTTTATCATGTATTAGATTTGAGGTGAAGTTGCATTCCTTTCCCGAAGGAGAGTTTTTGCTCTTGAATTGATTTTCCTGATATTGATCTTTAATTTATACATTTATTATCACCAAGTGCGATGCCTTACTGCATGCTAGAATTTCTGTTGTTTTCGTAATAATAAATTCGTTTGCCTAGGGATGAGGTTTTATTCCTAATGGGTAGGAACGTATTAATGGAATTGTTTCGAAGCCTAAAGACTTCAAAATCACGCCTTGTAAGGTTCTCTGAGCATCTTAAGGTACATAGTGTAAAGGCCATTTTACCTAAGCACTGAGAAACACCTGCATTATATTATCTGAAAACTTTGTTTCATTTTTAGTCAAACAAAGTATTTAACTGTTCTTGGTCATAGAAATGTATCTAAGCATTTGACATGTAAGCAACTTAACCTAATTGTTACGTTATTGTTCAGCTCTCAAATTATCTTACACATTCCAAAATTTTAAAGTACCAACCGTTGATAGTGGTTGTTAACAAAAATTACTTGTGTTTATGGTGGAGAAGATTCATTTATAAGGTATTTATTTGTTTGGGTAGCTTAATTGTTAGATTTGAATGATATTAGGTACATTATTTTTACCAAGAAGTTCAGATTACATTGGGAAAGCATTTAACAAGATTGAACACACCCCCCCCCCCCCCCTCACCCAAGTAACTACAGTCCTGAATTTCATGTGTACCTTTTCTATGTCTTAATTTTAGCTTCAATCTCATGAATACTATCATGAATGGTGAGTGTTTTGGCGATGTGAGGATTGATTAATTGTTTGTCACGGTGAACCAAAACCTATGCAGTTTGAGTGGACCATGGAAACATGAAATGTTTCTAATTCCACTGACCCTTCTAATAATGATCAATGCATATGCATTTATATTGTCTCAGGTTGATATGGTCATAGTCCCTGCAACTACTGGTCAAATGGGTGTTTTGCCTGGCCACGTAGCCACAATTGCCGAGCTAAAACCTGGGGTTTTATCTGTCCATGATGGCAACGATGTGACCAAATACTTCATTAGCAGCGGGTTTGCTTTTGTCCATGCAAACTCCATTGCTGACATAGTAGCTATCGAGGCAACACCACTGGACCATATCGACCCAGCTCTGGCCCAGAAAGGCCTTGCAGATTTCCAACAGAAGCTCAGCTCGGCAACAACTGATCAGGAGAAAGCCGAAGCACAAATTGGTGTAGATGTACACAGCGCACTTACTGCTGCTCTTGCGGGGTAAATTTGCAGCCTAATAAAGGGGAGTCTTCAATCTCTTAATGCTTTTTTCTTTTTTATTAATCTTGCTGCATGAGTTGATTCCTTTTGCTGAAGATGATTATCAGTTTGTTTCGAATGAATATCTGAGAGAATCCTGTCCTCTTGCGAAAAGGATTTCTCAAATAAATATTATGTCCAACACTTTTTGTCGACGATGTTGTGGTTAGGTGCAAAATCAATGTCTCTTGGAAAACATAAGCTTTCTTCTACATGTTTTTGTATGAAAATTCAACTTTGGAGCATTTATTTTTATACTAATAACCTCATCTTATATATATATATATATATGTGTGTGTGTGTTGATTTATTTTTAATGTGAAATGTTAGAACCCTAATTGCTTATACATTGTTGGATAAATTTTGTTTGGCTCGTTAGGTTGATCTAGCAAATGAAGAATTTAATAAGAAATGAAGGGCTAACTTTGAAATTTGTTGAAATTCAAATAAATTGTTTTGATGTTATTAGATTTGTAAAATCTATTTAAATATATAGTACTATATTATTTCCTATCAATTGTCAATAGAATGACTGGGAAGTCTGTCAAGCTTTTGCTTGAGCTTGTTTGTTTTGTTGTAATTTTATTTTCTTAATGTACAATTTTTTGTGTAAGAATTATAATACCTTTATATAATTGTAAAGGGTTCATGATTCCTTTGTCGACAGATGATCCATTTGTAATCTATAAACGAATATTTGTTGGAAGAAAATGAAATATAAATATGAAAAATATATAATAAATTTTTGAGTGGAGCGAGGAAATAGTAAAATAGATTGAAACGAATTAACGATACAATAAAACTCCATCAATTAATTAATTGCCTCAAAGAGCTTATTCATTAATCAACACAAAAACCCTAAAACACCCCCCGCCGGCGACCGGATCTGATCAGATCAGTCCCGGCGGCGGCCCAACGCCGCCGGCGACGACGAGTAGACATACAAAGTGTACTGCATCACACTGTTGTACGTCGCCGGATCCATTTTCAGCGTCCTCTTCAGCGCCACCCCACGCGCCATCAGATACTTACCCGTCCCGCCGACGATCGACAGCTCCCCCTCCGCTGCGAACGCCACCAGCCTCCCCACCACCGTCACCGTGCTTCCCTCGCCGTCGTCGAAGTGGAAGTTCCAGTTCACTCCAATCGCCGCCACGTGGAGGTCCGCGTTCACGTGTATCCCCTGGACGCGACCCACTCTCTCCGACTCCGGCTCCGGTCCGACCGTCAGGAGGTGGTCCGCCACCTGAACCCGGCCGAACCAGGTGCCGGAGCTCCCCGTGACGGTCGACTCGGCCACGTCGTAGACGGACTGGTTCGGACCGCTCACGTAGTCGTGGACGTAGAATTGGAGCTTCGAGAACTTCTTCTCCGGCAGCCTTATCGGGCTTTCTTCTTGGCGGCCGGCGGTTGCCGTCGCCACCAGAATTGCTGTGATTGTGAAGACTGAGAAAATGGCGACTTTAGGGAGGATTGATTTCGCCATTGCAGTTTGTACTTGGATTCTTCAGCTTTAACCATAACTCTTACTCTGTTATTTATAGAGGATGCGTTTGTTTTTGTTTTTATTTATTTATTTATTTTTGTTCAAGAAAATTGATTCAAATTAGTTAGATAGAGGCGTGGAAAGCAAGGGAGGATGAATTAGATTTAGAGATGTTTGTCTCATAGTGAGCTCGTGTGTCGCAGGGCCAGGGCACCTGCATTACTTATTTATGTTTTTTTTGTGTTTTTCAGACCATATAAATATTCTATTTTTTTTATTACTTTTTTATAAATTTATTTTTACACTATTTTTAACATATTAATTGCAATTAAAACTAGTACTGTATTATTTTTAAAAATTTACACCAAAAATAAATATATATCTTTTAAATTGAAAGAAAGGAGTATTATTTTTTAATCTATTATAAAAAAAAATACATTAAGTTTGAATAAAGAGAGTATTTACTTTCAAAACTTAGAAGTTATATCTAATCAGAGCCTTAATTAATAATAGAGTGAACAAAATTAAATGAATTATTATCTCGATTTCGATTCAAAATAAATTTTTATTTATAATAAATTAAGAAAAAAAATATGTTATTAATTAGTGAATACGTGAAAAATAATTTTGACATTCTTGCGCATATAAATATAAAAGAAGCAAATAATTTAGTAAAAGTTAAAAGCTATATTAATATTTATATATAAATTGCTCTTGAAAAGAAATACTTTTGTGTGATAATACAAAAATTTGTAAAAATAGTAAATTGACTTATATATTATATTTTGTATATAATTATGTATGTACAGTCCATTTTTAATGGAGTAATATTTATCTAGATACAAAACAAAAATAAAAAATAAAAACGGGTCTATATCCGTGTGGGTATTAGAGCATAATTAAATGAACAAGTCCAGATTGATTATTATTATTATTATTATTATTATTATTATTATTTATTGTTTTTGATGCTTCGTATGTTTTTCTTTCAGAAATTCGGGATAATTGTATCATAACAAAACATTTATTAGAGTGTTTATTTTTTATTTTAAATAAAAACATGACTGTTCAATTTAATCATTCTTAATAAAAATATATATATATATATATTGGAGTAATAAAATATAATATTAAAACATTATTAAACAAAAATAATTTATTTAAAATCAATTTAAACCACTGGTAATAAACAAACTCTTCAAAATCTGCGAACAATTCTTACAGCCAAACATGAATACACTCACTCTCACAACTCACAACACAACCTTATTAATTCCCAACAAGATTAACACATCACGTGCCCGGCACACGCACGCACCGACCCTGACCGTACACATCAAAACGACGCCGTCGTCGACTCCATCACACCCGCCGGCGCCGGAGTAACGACATACAAGACGTACGTATATATCCCAACTTTTGTAACATTATCCACCGAAACAGTCGACGCCAGCGCTATCCCCTCGGCGAACCTGAAAACTCCGGTGCCGGCGACCACCGTCAAAACCCTAACCTCCTCGTCGATCGGCTGCCTCCCGAATATGGTGATGGTGCTCCCGCCGTACTTCTCGCCGGGGAAGATCATATTCATGTTCATGTTCGCCGCCGTCTGTCGGAGGTCGGAGAAGCCGTTCATCCCCTGGTAGCTGCCGAGGGATTCCGACAGGGGATCCGGCGCCGCCGTCAGCGGGTTGTCGATCACCAGGACCTGCCCGAAGCTCGCCGGCGATGCGGGGGAGATCTCGGCCTCCGTCACCTGGAAGACCGTCTGGTTCTCGGCGGCGCCGGCGAAGTAGGCCTGGATGTAGACCTGGAGCTTGGTGAGAGTGGTTTTCCGGTGGTTGATGACGGCGGCGAAGTGGCGGTCGTATTTTTGGGTGATTTCCGGCAGGGTTGCGGCGGAGGTTTGCCGTAAGAAGGATAGGATGAAGATGATTGAAGAAACTACTGTTATGTGATAAGTAATGGTGTCTACTTTTTTCGCCATTGCTGCTGTAATTTTATTTAATTATTTGTGGATTGTATATTCATTTGATGCAATGTAGAGTGGTATTTATAGGTGATGGTTTATAACACAATTGTACTCGTAAAAATATATTCGCACCTTTGGACACAATTTTCATGTGAATTTTAGTAATTGGTTTTTTTTTTTTTATAGTCAAAAATATATATAGTGTATTGTATAACAAAATATCTTTTATGACGAGAAAAAACAAAATGTACAGTGAATGTTATACAAAAAAACATAAATAAAACAAAATAATAAGTTGGGAGCTATTATATTAATTAATTTATATATATGCACGCGCAAAGCAAGGCAAGGGGTGTAGGTGATTAGATTAATTAGTTTTGTCAAGTAACTGCGGCACATCAATATACTCCCTCCCTCCGAAATACAACATTTATTTTTGGCACTAATAGGCGGTTAAAAATAGGTGATGTGATAGAGAGAAATATATATTTTATTTTTTTATTTGGATAATGTGAGGGAGATAAAGTGTGGATTAGAGATTACGTATAATTAATTATTTCCTGTTTTGAAAATATTGCAGAGTGTCTGGGACATATAAAAAGAAAATGTTGCACGGTGTTTGGAACGGAGAAAGTGCATAATAATGTCATGTCCTATCCCCTTTATAACCACGGTTCCATATGTACTAGCCTGTTACGATGGGAATCCGAAATTCCAACTTAAAACCAATTGGTTGTAAGGAGAGTAGTATTCACCTCCTTGTCCCATACACTCAGTGTGTGTGTATGTATAATTAAATAACACACTATGTATGTAGGGATATAAAATATGATTTATTTGTGGACAAGTGATCCATGGGATAATCTTATTACATAACAATAATAGTTTTAATACTAATAATTAATTGTATGTATTAGGCTTTATTTCTTAGCTATAATATATGTCTCCGTGTTGAGTGAAAGCTCATTTGATCTTTCCAACAATTACGAAAGAACCAATTGGTGATAAGTGGAGTGGTCTTCTCTTATATAGTAAGGAGTTCCCACGTATTAACCAACATGGGACAATATTCAACGCCAACATCAATTTTGCTTGTTTCCTACAAAACCTGTAACGGCTCACTCACTATTCATCTATGACAATTCGACATAAAAATAAATTAATTTTCTCACGGCAAAGTACTATTTAAATAAAAAAAAAAAAAAAACTCATATTTCAAACCTAAACCAAGCACAAAATCTTCCAGCATAACATAATACACTATACTAAGCAATGAGACAGGACGAAGAATGCACCAACAATCGAGAGCAGTTACATGCTTCGAGTACAAACAGAAGAACACAACAAGAAAACAATCGACCAAACTGATCAAATAGGCAGCAGCCATTGCTAAAACATTCTACCCTGTTAACAATCAGACTATTTCTACAGATTCCATTATACTATCCACCCCCCTGTCTGCTGCAGTACAGTCAGTAAGAAGCATGAAAAAAAAAAAAAAAAAAAACCGAAAAAGTACCTGGCAGAAGCTTCGAACAAAATGCACCGTCGCAAGCTATGTATGTGTACAGGTGGGGGCAGCCATCGTTCCAAATCCAGCACATCCCTCGTCTACTTGCTGTTGCCTTTAAATGCTGAAAGAGAGAAGAATGACCTTGAAGCTGAAAGAAAGGGTCGAATCCTAGATGACATTAATACGCAGTTTAAACGAAAGAATGGAAAGGAAAGGATTTTGGTGTGTAATGCAGTTTACCTTTTGTTGTGGTCACCGAAGCCGAGACATGGCTTTCGTGCATCTGCTGGAATAAACTTGGTGAATCGAAGTTGCCTGCACTTGCTTGAGCTGAAACAAAAAGAAATAGTGCAAACTCATCGAACAAGACAATGTGTCGTGCGATTAAATCAGCATATTCAAGGAAACTATATACACTTTAGCACAGGAGTTGTACCAGAATGTTCGTAGTCTTTGGAATGCTTCTGGTGCCCATTGTTCTTCGAATGCAGGGTCGCTTTCCTCAGTAAATTCTCGCCACTTCGCTTAGTGGAAACCTTAGAATCCTCGGGATCATCCTCTCCTTCGGAAAAGACAGACGGGCTCGACCAGCCGACTGAACTTGCATCAGTCTTGGTCTTACGGGCGAATTTCAGTAGCCTCTTCAACCCTTTAGGGGCATCTTTATGATAGACGATTTGGGGAGGATTTTCGGCATTACCCCAGTCGACGACATCCGGTTCATTGCTCTCTTCGAGAAGCATTTGTGACAGAGAATGGCGAACCCGAAGATTCGAGACTCCAGCCGGGGCTGCATACGCCGGAGAACCAACCATTTGGCGATTATGGTCTCCGGAGGCGACCGGCTGATCTTGCTCCTCTATTTCGATCCAAGCTGTAGGTGAGATGGCGGATTCCACTTCATCCTCACCTTTTAATTCAGGCTCCACTGCCATGTCAAAACTACCATCATTTGGGCAATCAACCTGAATACATTTCTCCTCGACTTCAGGATCCTCGGGGCTTCTTACTACAGTGTTGCATTCCTCAGCTGTGTGCGCTTCTCCGACTTCCCTCTCGTCATTCTGAACCACCCGATCAGAAGAGTTAGAAACTTCGACAATTCCTGCATCTTTAGATAGATCTTCAGATGTCCTCAACAGCTCCTGACCTGAGGAAGGCAATTTTTTCTTCACTGATGAATTTACGTTGGAGATAGTTCTGGAACCTTTCCGGAGGAAAGGCTTTGATTCCAGCGGAACTACACTGCTCTTCTTGGCAGCCTTGCTATTTAATCCTGTTTTCGCTGCAGAAGCAATTTCTTCGGAGCCAGAATGAACTTTGTTTCTGGTTGTAGTCTTCTTAGGCTTCGTCACAGATTGCTGCTTTTTCTCAGCCGTATTAGCCAACCGGTTCTTGGTATCAATTGTATTTGATCTCATTGACTGAGGTTTCTCTTCTTTAGTGCTGGACCGAGCAACTGGTTGTGTTGGTTGTGATCTTCTACGAGCCGGCACTGCACCAGTACGAGACGGTTCAGGAGGGGCTGTAGCAGGTGATGACCCTGGAACTCTGGGTGACGACATTGATGGCCAAGATTTCCTTGTGGCAGGCAAAGAAGCCGGTTTTGGAGAGGCTTTCTTGACAACACCAAGCTTTGGGCTTTCGGATTTTGGATTTGCTGGTTCAGCTACACCCTTTTGTGGTTTCTGCACCCTTTTCACATTTTGTTTCTTGCCGGCATCATTTGTCTTTTCTGGGGCTGGTTGTGACTTCTTCGCATCGAGAACCTTTTGCCCTGCTTTGAACTGTTTGTCTTTCACTGCTCCTTTCCTTGCAGCTTCTCCCCGAAGCTTCTCATCTCTTTTCTCTTTGTACTGATTATAGGAAATGCCTCTCTGCTCCGATGGCAAGCTTTGTCTTTTGTTGGTAGATGGCGCGGCAGCCTGCCTTTTAACTGGCTTAGTCTCCATCATCTTCAGCAGTAGCTCACTTAACTCTGCTTCCTTTCTCCGGCTCCACTCAGCTGAGGCGGCTAATTTCTCATTTGCTTCAGCTGAGGCGGCTAATTTCTCATTTGCTTCAGCTGATTCGATCAGAAGAGTCTGCTCTTGCACTTCTGGACTGAAGTCTCGTTGTTCTTCGGGTGAATTCGATTTGGCATCAGATCTACGGGGCTCAGTAGGACATTCTTCTGATGTAGCATCAGGCTGGCACTCAGCTTCGGTATTTTCTATTGTATTCTGAATCTCGGCTGCTGAATCCTCCGGGGAAGCATCATTCAGACAATGGGAAGACTTCTCACCCACGCTGCTGCTCCATCTTCGTAACACAGATTTGGTCGCTGCTCCAACCGATGCTGCATTCAATGTGGACCTTGTCTTCTGGATATCAGATGGCTTTTGATCCCTTTGTTTGCTCTCGAAAAGATTTATTGCGTCTTGTACGCTGATCCTAACATTACTCTCGGATTGTCTAGGTGGTCGCCGAGATCCTTCTTCATCACTGTCACTTGCATCAGGATCTTTTGGCAGAAATGACCTCTCTCTGGCTGGAACGAAACTCAAACTCTTGATTGTTATTGCAGTAGCTCGTCGCGATCCTGACCGTCCAATCTGCACCCTCCGCATCGGAGATGCTGATCTCCGAGGCGAGGCAGATCTTATAAGAGTTCGACTTCTTTCTGTGGATGGCAGCTCGTCCTCACTAGAGAGAGAGCACTCATCACTTTCTGTCCTCTCTATTTGAGCAAGTTTTGCTGGTGATACGCCATATCTTACTGGTGTCTCAGAAGAAAACGATTCACTGGTCTGTGTTTTCCCCTCTTTCGACAAAGAATCATCACTTTCTTGTCTAAGTTCTATATGCTTGTGCAGTGTTTCGCTGGAACCAATGTATACAACTAATTACGACTATAACGGAAGTGAAAATTCATCATGATACTTTTGTACGAGACATGCATCAATGTTACCTAAAGGAATCCGATTCAATGTGCTGAAACAATTTCTCTATATCGGTCACCTCCACCGGGGAATATCTAAAACCAGCAGCTTGGTCGAGGGCAGCCGTTAATTCTTCTCTCAATACACCAAGCCTAGAGTCCATGGCTCGCAGCAGCTCGTTCCTGTAAGAAACCAGCCATATCTAAAGCACGGATATATATGCTGTTTTAAACAGTTAAAAATAGTCGAGGGAGAAACATTACTTGGAAGCATCAGTGCCATCAGCCTGTAGAAAATACATTGAGATAATTGAGAGTTCGGAAATTACGGAAGCTGTTATATTAGCCGTAGAAATCAGATGAAACAAAAATTTTGAGTTGGAACATAACGAACATTACCTTCGGATTTAGAGAAAGGTGAAATCTTCGGGCTTCCTCCAGCTGAGATATCTCGGTTCTTAAGGAATCGGTGACCTCATGTATGTTTGTCAAACCAATTATATGCAGAAACCTGAACATACTTCGGGTAATTAAGAGCAAAATGTGATCCCCAACAAATACAAGAATGCAGAATGTACAAAA